GCTGAGCCGAGGCAGTTCTGCACAGACGCTCGTCTGCCTTGGGCGGCAGCCAGCTCTTCCCCCTGCCCCACTCACCGCCACCCCACCCCCCTCCGTGTCCTGTCAGCAGGTGGGCACCCTCGGCCTTCCCAGGCCAGCAAAGCCTGGGTCCCGGACGTCTCTGCATCTGGAGCTGGGGGTCAGGTGACCTGGCATCTCAGGGGATCTTGCTAACAGGACCCATCCTGCCTCTTGGATTGTTCCACTTAAAGAACTTTAATTTTCAGTCAATGTCAGGAGTTTGTTTCCATCTTAAACTGCGCCTGAGCTTGGGATGGTCTTTTCTGTAACCTCTTCCACACCATTCCTCCCTCCACGTTCTTTTGAAATCACCTGAACTTCTTTGTTTTTAACATGCTGGTCCTGTGTTGTATTCCTTTCTTGGCAATTGCATAAACTTAACAGCACATTATATTTAGTTATTTAAATTTACTTCTCTGTTTTCTGCTTCATATCTGTCCTCCTTTCAAGAGTAATAGGATACACTTTAGATTATCAACAATAATAGTAGGTATCATTGAGAAGCGTGTTATGTCCAAAGAACTATGTTAAGTGCTTTCCATGGATGAACCCATTTGATACTGATCTGTATCATTATGTGATAGGTACCATTATTTTTATTTCAGAGGTGATGGTACAGAAGGAAACATTTTGTAATGACTGGTGTCAGTGTTGGTGAATTTATTGAAAAGATCCATGCTAAATCGTCTGGGTGTGGCAATTTCTAGTTCTTTTGTGAGCTCTCTGTCCCTTGTCAGGAGTGTGCTCCTCCCCTGGAAGGTGTTTGTGGGAAGAAGGGATTTCAAGTCCCCAGCTGGGAATTAGGGGCAGCTGACCCAAGCTGTCCCTGACAGTTCGTTTGGCAGGTCAGTGTCAGACCGCCGCAGGCTTATCTTCATAGTAAAATACACAACTAGAATATGTTGCTTGGGTTGCTTGTTGCTTTGGGAAGTGTGGCGAATACTGCAGCTCAGCTCCTTCTGTGAGCGGTAGGAGAAGCTTAGGGCAGGAATGGGACACATGTGTCCGGAGTTTAGGAGAGAAGCCTGGGCTGGCGATATAAATTTGGGAAATGTTGACATGTAGGTGGTAATTAAAGCCATGAGGCCAGATGGGATCACCATCAAAGCAAAGTGTAAAAGAAAATAACTGAGCCCCAGGGCCCTCTAACTTGAGGATGACTCAGGGGAGAGGGGGCGCCAGCAAACGAGATTGAGAAGGAGTGGCCAGGGAGGTAAGAGGAGGACCACGCTGTTAACAGTCTGGAAGCCAAGCGAAGGGGCACAGTGCATCCCGGGTCGACACACATGCCCTCAGGCCTGTGCTCCTCGGGAGCAGGGGCTTTGTCTGCTGTTGTAGGTCCCCAACATCCAGGTTTGTTCCTGGCTCACAATGTAAGACAGTATTTTCTTTCTTTGCTGTACACTGAACGAACTCATAGCAGTGTATTGTATTTATTTTCCTCCCAGGAGATCCATAACGTAAAAGAGGTATACAGTGTTAACTTTCTTGGTGAGCTGGGTGAGCTCTTGTCCCCCTAAGTCTTCTCCACGTCACCCAGTTCCCATCACGGTGCCATTGCAGGGGCCAGTGTCATTCACGGACGTGGCCGTGGACTTCACCCAGGAGGAGTGGCAGCAGTTGGACCCTGAGCAGAAGACAACCTACAGGGATGTGATGCTGGAGAACTACAGCCACCTCGTTTCTGTGGGTGAGGAGAGCCTGCTTTCTGAATTGCTGAGATAAACAGGATTTCCCTCTAACTTACTGACTTTAACTTTGAATTTAATGGGACAAATGTGAGTAATCTGGGGCACCAGGCAGGAGGGCATTTGGTCTTTGCCTCCAAGTAGGTTCTAATTTTGGTACAGCACAGATGGCCACTTCTGTTGTGTAGCTTGAAAGGCAGCCCTTTGCTTAGACAGTAGATCTGGAAGCCCAGCAGCCAGGCTCAAGTTCTCTCTCATTTCTGTTAGCAGGGTGTCACATTATCAAACCGGAAGTTATCACCAAGTTGGAGAAAGGAGAAGAGCCATGGATAGTGCGAGGAGAATTCCTACTTCAGAGCTGCCCAGGTGTGTGAGTGAGGCAGTGAGGAGGTCGGTAACTCAGAAGTGCTTTTCCCTGGAATTTTTTAATGGTGCCAAGCCTTAGAAGTGACTAAGGAGAGTTGCTTGTGTGCTTTAGCTATGCGAATCTCACTCCCAAAGACTTCCTCCTTCCCCACAAAAGCTTATGTTGGTAGAGCTTCTCCACGCTTGCTTCTACCCCGAACCAAACCCACTCACTTCCTTCTTCCTCTTAAGCCTCAGGTCCTCTTGTTCTTACAGCATATTCAGTAACCTCTTATCGTAGATTCTTTTTGCTTTCAGGCGTTCATAGTCTGTTACTAGAGAATAACTCGTGACTCTCCATATTCTTATTACTTCCCTTTTTTCTTCTTTCCCATGAAATGCCTCAGACTTGTTTCTGTCTGCAGTTTCACTTCTCACTTCTCTTTCCTTGAGGACAGAGGTCAAACCCCCATCCTGTGCATAAACCAGTAAACTCAGTTCACCTTTGCTGTCATGAGCACGGGTGCTGGTCATTCCTGAGACGAGTGCTGCTGGAGTTTGGTGTCTCCCTCTTCCTCCAAATGCCCATTTTCATCTTGTCTCCTATTTACTGTTCTGTGGCCCGGGCCTTGAATGCTGTCGTGTCGGAGTAGGTGCAGAGTGAGTAGGAGGTACTGAAATTAGTCGTGGATCATTTATCCTCCCATCCCCGCCCCCTCCAGAAATGTCTCTGAAGGATCTGCTTCGCACCTCGGTGGTTTGTTCCCCGACTTCTTCAAAGGGCCCCTCCTGTCTGAAGTCTTGAGGGTTTTTGTCTGTTTAATGCTTCATTGTCCACCCTGTCCTCTGGTTCAGTGTTTCCTGTGGGAGCAGTAGGTGCTCCTTCATTCTGACTGGATTTGCAAGATGTGTTCATCTGCCTTTCTAATCCATCTTATCACTAGTCTCATAGGGTAAGCCTACAGCGATTCCCTGTTGATTCCTAAAAGGAATTTAAATTCCTATTACTTTAAGAATTACCCAATATTGGCGCTGTGTTACCTGGAAATTTTAATTTTCTATTGTTTTCCGAAACTCCGGATAAACTCCCTTTGGTCCACACTTCTAAATGTCTTCTGTTTCATTGGGGTGTGGGTTATTTGTCCAGATTACACATTCTTTCTGTCTGAACTCAAATATTCAACCCCACCTTGAAGTTTTTCCATCCAGCTCTAATCATCACTCCAGTCTCTTCTTTCTCTTGACTTTGACTCCACCTCATCATGGTGATGCCTTAAAAAAAAAAGCTAGGTCTGATCAAGGAATCTGTTATTTGGTTATGTATTTTTTGCTTGAGCTTCTGCACACCACACCCCCCATAATCCAATAAAGAAAAGGCCATGTTCTCTCCCCTCATCATAGTATGTAACATATAGTACATGTTATTTTCTTTGATTATCTGAGGAGGCAGGTAGGTGAAAGAACCTTCTTGTCCATTCAGTCAGAAATAATTTATTATTTTTATTTTTTTATTGAAGTATAGTGTTGTGTTAGTTTCAGGTGTACAGCAAAGTGATTCAGATATAGGCATTTATTTCTAAATATGCGTGTCTAGGTGACATCCCATATATTCTGCTGGTAGTCGAAAGAGGTCTATATATGATTAAAATTAAGAACAACTATGACTTCTGTTGAGGGGTTCAAAAGAAATAGAAAATAGAGCCATACTTTCTAAGAGATTTTGGTTAAGAAAAGAGAACAGAGATGCATGGCTAATTTAAAAGTCAGCATTGCACATGGAATGTTAATGTTCCAATGCAAGGCTGAATCAAAAATATATGGAGAGTAATTATTTTCAACTTTAAGGGGAAATGGAGCTAATTAGCTTGAGAAAGGACTTGAACAGTATTTTTTTTTAAGCATGGACACACCCTAAAAGATAGGGTTTGAGTGGATCAAGGCTGGAAGTCCGGCAAACTTTGTTAAACAACAGGAGCAGAGACCTGTGGTTGAACGTAAGCTGGGGCATTGCTGGTACCAGACATCTCGGTGTAGGTGACAGTGCCTTAGCCTGTGATCTGTCTCTCCACTTGATGTGAAAGTGCCATGGTGTAAAGTGCTGATCCACCTCCTGAGACTGATTCCTCCTTGTCCTTGTCCAGTGGCTAAACTCATTGTCACCCCATCAGTTTACCTGTTTGCAGTGAGTCCTTTCACATCTAAGAATTGGTCATTCACCTAGCATCCTTTGTCTTCTCATCATTGCTCCACGTTTGTATTTTACCTTCTATACCCAGTTTTAAACAAAATCTTAAAAGTAGCAAAGATCAAAGGTGCTTGTGTGTGTTTTTGCTGCATTGGGTCTTCATTGCTGTGTGTGGGCTTTCTCTAGTTGTGGCGAGCAGAGGCTACTCTTTGTTGCAGTGTGCAGGCTTCTCATTGCAGTGGCTTCTCTTGTTGCGGAGCACAGGCTCTAGTGTGCGAGCTTCAGTAGTTGTGGCACACAGGCTCTAGAGCGCAGGCTTAGTAGTTGTGGCACATGGGCTTAGTTGCTCTGTGGCGTTTGGGATCTTCCCAGACCAGGACTCAAACTCTTGTCCCCTGCACTTGCAGGCAGATTCGTAACCACTGCGCCATCAGGGAAGCCCAGTGCTTGTGCTTTTGTCAGCTTTTGTCACTACTGGAGACTGTGGAGGTTGTGTGTGTGCATGTGGGTGCTTATTCCAAACCAAAAGAATAAGGGAAAGAAGTACACTTGGAATTGTTTTCATCTGTTCATGAAACTAGCACCTGTGCCACAAGGAAATGGCTTGTGTACAAGTCACATCTCATATCTTATATAGGAAGATGTATAAAAATTGGTTAATTTTGCCTCTATTTAGAAGAAGACTGGGAAGTCCATGATCTGATAGAGGGAGCCCAGGAAAATGAAGACAAACATTCAAGGCAAACTGAATCTGTCAACAACAAAACCCTGATTGAAGAGAGAGGTAATGTTTTTGGTAAGACTTTTAATGTGGAAACAAACCCTGTTCCTTCAAGAAAAATATCTTGTAAATGTGACAAGAGTTTAAAATCTACTTCAGAATATATTAGTAGTGATGGAAGCTATGCAAGAATGAAGCCAGATGAATGTAGTGCATGTGGGAAATCACTTCTCCATGTTAAGCTTGAAAAAACTCATCCAGGAGATAAACCTTATGAATTTAATCAAAATAGGGAGGCTTATACTCTAAATGAAGGAAGTATTTATCAGAACATTCATATTTTAGAGAAACCCTTTGAATATATGGAATATCAGAAAGCCTTTCAAAAGGGTACAGTGTTTGTTAATCATATGGAGAGGCCCTACAAGTGGAACGAATCTGAAATAGCCTTTCTCCAAATGTCAAACCTCAGTGTGCACCAGAGAGCTCATATGGAAGTGAAGCCCTATGAATGCAATGCATGTGGGAAATCCTTCTGTAAAAAGTCAAAATTTATTATACACCAGAGGACTCATACAGGAGAGAAACCTTATGAATGTAACCAATGTGGGAAATCCTTCTGCCAGAAGGGAACACTCACTGTACATCAGCGAACACACACAGGGGAGAAGCCCTATGAATGTACTGAATGTGGGAAAACTTTCTACCAGAAGTTACACCTCATTCAACATCAGAGAACTCACTCAGGAGAGAAGCCCTATGAATGTAGTTATTGTGGAAAATCATTTTGCCAGAAGACACATCTCACACAACACCAGAGAACACATTCAGGAGAGAGACCCTATGTTTGTCACGACTGTGGAAAAACCTTCTCCCAGAAGTCAGCACTTAATGACCATCAGAAAATTCACACAGGTGTGAAACTCTATAAGTGCAACGAGTGTGGGAAATGTTTCTGCCGCAAGTCTACTCTGACTACACACCAGAGGACACACACAGGAGAGAAACCCTACGAATGCAATGAATGTGGGAAATTCTTCTCTCGGTTGTCGTATCTCACTGTACATTACAGAACTCATTCAGGAGAGAAGCCCTATGAATGTAATGAATGCGGGAAAACCTTCTACCTGAACTCAGCCCTCATGAGACATCAGAGAGTCCACACAGGAGAGAAGCCCTATGAATGTAATGAATGTGGAAAGTTATTCTCCCAGTTGTCATACCTCACTATACATCATAGAACTCACTCAGGAGTGAAACCCTATGAATGTAACGAATGTGGGAAGACCTTCTACCAGAATTCAGCCCTTTGTAGACATCGGAGAATACATAAAGGAGAGAAGCCCTATGAATGTTACATATGTGGCAAGTTCTTCTCTCAGATGTCATACCTCACTATACATCATAGAATTCATTCTGGAGAGAAGCCCTATGAATGTACTGAATGTGGGAAAACCTTCTGCCAGAATTCAGCCCTTAATAGACATCAGAGAACACACACAGGAGAGAAAGCCTATGAGTGTTTTGAATGTGGGAAGTTTTTCTCTCAGATGTCATATCTCACTATCCATCATCGAATTCATTCAGGAGAGAAGCCTTTTGAATGTAACGAATGTGGGAAAGCCTTCTCTCGGATGTCATACCTTACAGTACATCATAGAACTCATTCAGGAGAGAAGCCCTATGAATGTAACGAATGTGGGAAAAAATTCTACCACAAATCAGCCTTCAATAGCCATCAGAGAATTCACAGGAGAGGGAATATGAACGTACTTGACGTGGGAAGGCTTCTCTGAAGTCACACCTCATTTAATGTCACAACCCTCAATATTCCTACCATCCTAAGACAGAGAGTTCACACAGGTGAGTGTGGACAAGCCTTCGAGCATTAGTCGGACTTGGAATTTGGAAGTTCACAACTGTAACTAGGCCCCATGATGGGTTGACAGGAGTAAAAATTTATTGATACTTAAATTGTACACAGTTTCACCATGGATTCAAACTGTTTCACATATCAGGGAATTCAGACCAAGGGAAAAATCTCTCAACTTAAGGAATGTGGAGAACATAATCTGTTGGAAATTATGAATACTGAAAGTTATGTTTCTGATAAAACACACAAAGTTTTTTGTAAAAAAGAAGCCACAGAAGATGGCTGTTGTGAATAAACATGCTCCTCATGTAGATAGAAGCTGTAAAGTTGTCAGGTAGCTAATCAAGACAGCAACATGGCAACATTAAGCTCATATATGAGTGGGTCCTGAGGATGTAGGACTAATGCTTTTGAGTGTGTTTTGGTCTGTTTGTTTGCTTTTTAAGATGCTGCATTACAGGAATTGTTCAGTTTGAATCACGTTTGAAAAGGCATCCTATCCTTATTACAATTTCTAAGGCATATGGTAATGACCCATGTTAAGTAGCACCACTATGTTAGTATCTTAATATGCATTGTTACTGAACTAATATTTGAAAGATACGAAGTATGCTTCTTTTTGTAATCTTCCGGCATTTATAAATGCATTTTATCATTGTTAATGAACTAAGTCTTCCATAAGGGAGTCAGTGTTTTTAATAATGTTTTCAACTGTATCTGAGTTAGCAAGAGATAGAAATCTATGCAAAAAATAGAAAATGGCATAGATAATTTACAGTTGTTAATGCCAGAAGTCTGTAGTGAGGAACATAGGACTCATTGCACTCAGTACAGTTTTTTAGATGAACCTAAAATAGTTTCATTTTAACCTAATTTTTTTCACCTATGGTTTTTTATTTAGATGCCTACCTAAGTGTAAGTGTGCAGAGCACACAATGTGTAACCTAGGAATTAACTGTAATTTTATTTGATATGATGGTATTTTTAAACACTGTGCTTTGCTCCTTCCTGAATGGGTTGAGTGGGTTCATATGGCTTTGTAGCTGGCATTGTTGGGTGACCACCCTAGTCACTCGCTCCTTATTGTTGGCTGGCCAAGTTTGGGTATCCATTCCTCCTGACAGAACAGAAAAATCCTGATAAGTTTCAGCCAATAATGATAATCCATTTCTCATGGCCAGCAACTGGTTTAGAGTGGTCCAAGGACCCAATTCTAGACAAATAAAGGAAACATCTGACAGGTTATTTCTGGAAAAGTTTTCTTCAAATCTTCAAAGAATCATGCTGGGTGAAATGGAACCTTGTTGAACTTTTCCTCCTCTGGATGTGATGCCTGGCTCTGTCTTTCAGCAATGAATTATGATATAATTTGCACATGGCAGAGCAGAAAGATTGGAAGAACCTGGGACCTGGGCAATGCTCTTGAGCCACCAAACCAGCCAGCCATGTAGCCATTCCATCTCTGGACTGTTTCTTTTCTGAAAGACTAAATTTATAAGATGATTGATTTAGGTTGGTTTTAGGGGGATAACTAGAGTTTGTAGGAGTTACGCGATTGAGAAGTGGACTTTAGGCAAATCATTTATTTTGAGCTGTTGATTTTGAAATTATCTTATTTTCCGTAAATTTTGGTATAAATAGTTTAAGCATTAGAAAACCTGAAACCATTCAATGCGTATGTTTTCCTGAATTGTTATGTTACTGACCTAAGAACCTCCGAACCTGATACGATGTCAGGTGTATCTTTCTTTTGGTAATGCATGACATAAATTTTGTTTAGGTTAATTTGTTATTCATGGATCACTGCTACCATATCGTTGACAATATATGGTGTGAGGTAAGGATCTACTTCTGTTGTCCAGTGATTAGCCTGATAGCCTGTATTATTTAATTCACCCCTTACCACGGAGATGAAATGCCATGTTTGTCATGTATTTCTATCACTCATGGCACCTGTTTTTGTTGCTTATCACTTTTCCACCATATTTGTCTAGATGATCTTGAGTCTGCTACATAACAGGAATTAAAATTCTGGTAGAGTGTATAATAGTTTTGTGTAGCAACTATACATGGTATATTTGTTGAAATGATATTTGCAGAGGTTTCCTACACTAGTGGGAAGTAGCTTAAATACACAGTATGCATTTTAAGTAAAATATTTGAAAAGTTTAAATGGTTTACCACATTCTTTTTCTCATGGAGTGCCTGACATGAAAGGGTCCTGTACATGTAAGTGGTCCTCAACTGCCTCTTCAGTAATGCAGTCATGGGATTTCTTTATTGTTTCAGAGATGTCAGTGTTTTCATATAATTACATCTCTGAAATTTGGATCTATAGCATGTTCTTATTCAACTGGCATTGATTTTTTTTCTTCTTTAAAATAATGGGTTGTCTTAGATTTGAAGGAATGCAATATTTGAAAAGTTTTTAACTATTCCTGGCAAGGCCTAAGTTCATGAAAGAACGCACCACAGGGGATGGTTCTGTTTCCCCACCCAGCAGCAAACTGAATGTGGAATTGGGGCAGAGCAGGAATACTTGCTCTTTATACACAGTGACCTCATACTGTGGAGTGTGAGCAGATTTGGAACTCCCAGGGGGTTTCCAAGGGCTGAGCAGGAGGTTGACCCCTCCTGGCACATACAGGTGAGATTCCCCCAGTTTTTTTTGTCTGTTTTTTTCAGTTATAGTGTTAGTGAAATGGCGGTTCATTTGATGCTTCTGTGGCCTCTCAAACAGGTCAAAATGAAGACCATTCCTAACACCAGGGCCCTCTTCTGAGGCCACAGAGAGTCACCCTCTCTTTATTCCACCTCAGCGTGGCTGGCTGGGCTGTCCACTCTAGCACCCCAAAGAAGGTTGTATGGATAGATATTGGTAAGGATGTACTGGTATCTTTGTATACTGTGGAAATATGTAAAATGATACAGGCATCTGGGAAACTAACCTGGAAATACCTTTTAAATTCAATAATATGTGTGCTTTATCATGCAGTAGTACCCCAATCTGTTGATAGATCCCAGAGAAATTCTATACACAGGAGGATGTATATACAGGGAATTTCACCACAGCAGGACTTTTGAGATATCCTAGGTGACTTCATTAGAAGAGGTGAGTAAAATGTGGATCAAGCAGTGGGGTGGTGTCCAGCAGTTAGCAGTGTGTGCTCTGTTGTAGCACAGCTGATTAACACTTTTAGATATGAATGAAAAAAAATGGATGGAATGAGATTTCATGCAACTAAAAAATGTTTACATCAATTAAAGTTACACACATACCCTCTTAGAGGCTACAGTAGTATGTGCTTAAGGTCATACCTTCATCAGTGTGAGTACCTGTGGGGGAAGGGATGGAATTGGGTTTGGCATGAAGAAACAGTGGGGTCCACACAGAAACCAATGCTGATAATAAGTATGTTTTTAACTGAGTAGTACAGTTAACACTGTGCCCAGGACTCCTCCAGAAATATGAAAACATGCGCACAGGAAAATTAAAGGCCCCTAATTAAAATCCTGAATAATGTTTTATTCTGTTCAGTTTTAGCCAGAATTTTATAGCTTAGGTACCTAAATGGTGCCTCCTGTGCCTTTTCTGGCAACTTCTACCCAAGCCAACTTTCAGGAAAATGGCACAGCTGCTTGTAAACGTCCTTATGATGAAAGAGTTCTACATGTGAGTGTCTGCATCACTTTATAGAACTCAGTGTAATAAACTGGGCTGCTGACTGTACTACAGTGTTACCCTGCTTTGTTTATGAAAGAGATTCCCCCTTCAGTTTCAACTGGCACATCACTGGAGATTTGACTTCTCAACTTACCTTTCAGGTAGGTATGGCCAGGTGATTATGTTGGAGCCCATTAGGGAAATCTGTGTCATCCTCTGAGTCACAGTCTCAAAAGAGTCACATTCTTAAAAGTTGGTTCTTCGTTGCCTTTCCTCCTTCCCTTGCTTGGGCTGTGATTGCTAGAACTTATTATTCTAAAACATATAAAAACCATTCTTGGTTTATGCTGTACAAAAAAGAGGCAGTAGCCAAATTTGGCCTATGATCCATATTTTGCCGACTCCTGCTTCGGGGATGGAAAAGTAATACATTGAAGGGAAACTTTTCTCTGGATAACACCATGGAATGGGATGGGGAGGGTCCCCTACCTCCCTGGACCCCCTGTTTGGAATTGTACATGAGATTTCAATCTCTTGGTTCAGCCACTTTGCTTGGCAGCCAATCTGACACACAGAATTAGCCAACAAAAAATGAACTGCAGTCATGTCTTCTAAAATGCAACCTATGCCTTCCTCCAAAACTTAGTGGTACACTAATGATCAAATACAAGAGTGAGTCTTAGAAAGTAAAAAGGCAGCCCACTCAAAATCTTTTCAACAGCAACCTTTTCAACAAGATTATTCGTGGAATGAACAGAATCCTAATAAATACTAGCACACTGTAATAGTATTGAATTCCTAATTAAATATGCCATATTTTACCTTCAGAAAAATGTGTGCACTGCCCCCCCCCCAAAGAAAAAGAAAAATGTTCACCCAGATCTTGGTTTGTAATTATTCTCCACTAAATGGAACCAGAGCTCTTAAGAGTAAAAGCTTATTCCAATGCTGATTAGGAAAATTAAGTGTAGAACAGTCATTTGTATTAGCAGTAAAGAAGTGCTCGAAAACTGACGGGAAGTGATTTCACCAAAAATGGTGAAATCCCCCAACATGAACAATTAATGAGCTGGCAACGTTGGCAAAACTCTAGAATCTAGTCTGGAACAATTAATGAGCTGGCAACGTTGGCAAAACTCTAGAATCTAGTCTGGGACTTAGAACCACCAAGGAAGGTTGATAAGAGCAACACTTTGCAATGAGAAAGCTGCCCACCCACTGTCCCCCACATCTCCGGTCACCAGCCCAATTGATGGCAGCCTGAGTCCCAGGCACAGGTTGCTGGGGGCAGGGCAAGAATGAGACAGCCCACAGGGCTGTGCTTGTGGGCCTCACCTGTGGGCTGCTGTCTGTCAGTCAGTAACGGGGCTTCCTTTTGTTGTTTCCTTGACTCAGAGCAGTCTTCCCAGAGGGCTGGTGCCAAAGGCATTTAAAGGCACAAGTCCTGGGGGTGGGGGCAGCAACCTGGGGGGCAGGATGACAGTCAAAGTGAGCAGCAGACGTATTGAGAAGCCTGGGAAGGGGCAGGTTGGAAAATGGAGTTGTGTGTGGCAATACGAGCTTTTGAAAAGCTTCCTAGTGCA